TATTCCCATTTTCCTGCCACGTTGACAACTTCAATACCAATAGATCTGCATTAATCATTAGCAACCTGATTGCTGAGCACCAATAATCGACGCGTGTATACGCACGATTGTTTCCACAGTGCTTGGTCGATGCGAGGTTCCAAGCCTCGTTTGTCGCGATCCTTGATTGCTTGTTAATTCGTGACCTAAGTTCAATTAAGTTTTCATCGAGAGTCAACGACCCCGTCGATGCCAGTCAACGAATCGTGGCTTATTGGGAAACTCCAGAAATAGCTCCCAAATGATTTTTCAGAGGATTTAATTCTGGCTGGAAATAATTTATAAATCTAACTGTTAGAAATAGAAGTAAATTCTAATAGAAAAATTCTATTATGACTCATATAGCAGAAACAAGACACGGTGCTGATCGATTTTTCAACTTTTTTCGCAATCACTCTAAGTCAGAAACGTCAGAGAAAATGTAATTTAACAGGATTTGATTGAATGGTCTCAATAAGAATGTTTTATGCATTGCAAATATTTGCAATGCTTGAATCCCTTTTCTCTTGATCCTTGACGAAAAGATCAATTTACCATGTTTTCAATTTACTTCAAATATGATCTGTCTAAAATTTGATCATGTCACTAGCCCTTCACAATTTATATTTAGAAAAAGAATACGTCTGACCCACAAAAAAAGAAGCACAAATAAAATGTAAGTCATCGAACGGTCCGCGAAATCGAAACATAAAAACTAGTTGACAGCCTGCCAGCAATTTCAAATAGCAGAAAAAGAGGTAAAGTAATTAAACTGACCTTATGTTTTGCTAACCAAATTCTATCTTCCTTGACGAACGTTCTATACAGAGATCGACTGAATACACGAAGAAATTCGTACAATATTTTTAGTACGCAAAAGTTTTTACGTGAACCTCGCATTTTTTAACAGTTTCTTCCCTCGTCAAAATTTAACGACGGCAGAAATCCAGTCAAAGGAACAAACTATTCCTAGAATTTGTTAGTATTACTACGCGATCCTTCTAACTTATAATCACCGACGGACTCGTTAAACTGGCGACTGTGTCGCCTTTCTATTCCGAATATTCGGCTGGCGAAACCAATTACAGCGGTGCAACCCGAGAAATAAAAAACGTGAGCAAGGAAAAACTTGTGAAAATAACGATCAAAGAATGCAATGCTTGCAAACGTGCAAATACACGAATTTGAAACAAAGCTGATTGCTGGTAGAGCTTAATACCTTGTACTAAATTACTACAGCAAAAAAAATTACCAGAGTTACAAAGGATATGAAACCTAAGCTTTTTCCAAATTACGTTCAACCTAAAAATAAATCTAATCTACAACAAGAAAAATCTAAATCTTTATCAAATATCAGAAGTTAATAAAAGAAAATTCTTTTTTTAATGGAACTAACATTACGAAACTAATATTCTAAATTACATTGAGGAATAATATGTTAATTAGTGACTGTCTCGTAACCTACTTCGTTTTTCACGTAGACAGTCACAGAGAAAAATGGTTTCGTTTATCACGGGAGAATAATTAACGGGACGTTGACAAAGCGAGCATAGGGGACGATTAAAACTCTCGATACGAGGTGCAAGGCTGCTAATCACGTTCCGTCGAGCACAATGTACGGTCGCCGGGAACGTGTAATTCTACTGGAAACTGTCTGGTAGAAACAACATTACGTTCTCCGAACAATAACGAAAATAACTGGGAGCCGAGCATTCGCGTTCATACGTACGTCTACCTGCGTATGCAAATGTCACATGCAGTAATTATCCGCGGGTGCTACAATACGTTCCCTGTATGAGAAACACCGCAAATGTCCTCAGATCGTTAATAATATTAGGTAATGACAAACTGCGACATAAATAGAATGTAGAAAATCGTTCAATATCAATTTGTTACATCATATCTATACTGAAGTAGATCTTAAAGTTGTATGAGCTCTAAGGTTTCTGCCAAAAGTTTGGGACATGTAGTAAAATGCTTGAGGCAATGAGCTTTTAGAAAAAAATGATAATTATAGAAGAGTAAAGTTTTAAATTATATTTTAAATATCCTAGAAATTGACATTATTTCAACTTTAAAATATTCTTAAATCATGTATTAAGAATTATACATGATTATTATGTATGTATTAGCATTTATACATTTTCATGTAAGGGCTCAAACAACCCTAATGGAAGCACACATTCACTACTTGTTTGGTATGAATATAAATGGATACGAGATGAATAAATTCAAAAAAACATGTACGCCTGTATATTGTATATTATATTGTATGAACACCTGTAGAAAATATAATAAAAATCTATGACTGAATAAATTTTATTCATATTTTCTATAGCAAGAATTATGTTCGTAATCGACAGAATGTTCTTCCTGATTGTACAAGTGAATCCCAATAAAAATGTAAATACTGTTCACACCATTTAAAATTGAAGTTCTCTGGTTCCTATCCGGATCTCAATAACATATATACTATTTGTAAGTCTTTTTTAAGTAGAATATAGGTGTTACTTCCGATACTCGAATATCCAGTTGAAGTTCCGAATTTAAGTAAGAGGCTTAGTTTCTATCGCTGTAAAACGTTCGAGTTGTTCTCTCAGTCACGTACCCACCGTATGAATAAATCGCTTTTTGCGAGTCTTATAGATTCTCTACAAAGCCGTCTACGATTCAAAGAAGAAGTACTGTTCTTTTCGTAAGAGGGAAAAGTAAGAACGATTCGTGAAAGGGAGAAGTTTGAAAAAACAAGGACGTACCCGCGCCGGAGTAAAAAGTGTATTGAACAAATAGAGGAGGTTTGCGACTTCTGTCTTATCTGGGAAGGTGGAGGTGAGTGATCGCATTACGTGCGATTTCTTGAGCTCAATACTTGAGAGAAAATCTTGATTGCTGCTCCCGACTGTGAGCTTAATGCTACTTTCCGATTGGAGTATACTCTTTGGATCGCTCTCGAAGTTCTTGAGAAAAATAGAGAAAATTACGATCTATCAATAGCATCGAAGATGTGAAAATCTCGTGCCAATCGTCAATTTTGATCATATTTATCAGTTGCATCCTCCTACTACCGCTGCGTACTCGATTTTCGTGTAAAATCAGCATTTCAAAAATATGCAGTTCAAACAAAGCTAAAAAAAAGACTATGGAAGTAACGCGTATCGGAAATACACCAACGATCAAAGAATTTGTTTTATTTACAAAAACCGATGCGCACCCGATTGTCACACGTTTTGACAAACTGAGTTTGTGTCATACAAATATACGCCTGCCTAGATACGAAAATAAAAAAAAAAACAGTGAACATTCAGAAAACTGAGTATACAATTTTTAATTAACCGACATATTCATTTCCAATAATAATCACGATTAATATTAATTTATAAAGCCTCGTCGTCGCATTTTCCATTTTCCTCCGAAAATGGCTGTTTAAGTTCTCATGAAACGATTCCAGAGGAGAACTCTTTTAAATAGCTCTCGAGTCCGCGCGACAAAGAAAACAGCGTGAATTCTGACACGGACAGGCCACCATGTACGCTTTCACAGCACAGGAACTGAACCCCAACGACGATGGAACTTGCCGGCTAAAGGGGCAGTGCGCGGAGGGGGAGGTAATGTCACACAGCTTTTTAGTGTGCACGCGAGAAAGGGTTAGAAAAGCTAGTCCGGAAAACACTTATTAGCCGGATCACGATCCGCGAAGCGACTCGGGATAAAAATAAAAGTTCGCCCTTGCGGTCTATAATCTTGTTTAAAGCAAGGGTCGCTAACGAAAGCAAACATTACTTCCGCGCAAACGATGTTAACCGAGCAAACCATGTTGTTTGTCCCGTAATGGCGTTGCAACGATTAACAAATAGCGTACCGATTGCCGCGACCTTAACCGATTCCTTTTAGACACGTCTACTCACGCGCTCTGATATAAAGACCTTATGTAAAATGAAAGCGAGTAGCAAACGTACAGTATCACTAAATTGATCAGCGAATGTTTTAATACCGGCGTCACCTTAGCTCGGATAATCTCGTGCCGTGACATTTAGTTAAAAATCGATTGGAACCGAAAGAGCAAATTATAAGTGCACTTCTACCTAATTCTTCTACCATTTTATAATTCTGTTCCCGTCTGGTACGAGCCAATTCCCGAGACCACGTCTTCTTACACCCCGTCACGAACACGCAACAGGTAAATGGTAATACGTTAAGATCGCATGCTGCAATTAATTTTTTAACAGTCGGCTGGCTCCGACCTCAACTTTTCCAGAGCACGATACGTCCTGTCAAGAATTGTACATGCGGCGGCAACGGCGAGACTCGTTTCTGGATTGTGTTAACGCTGAGCGGTCGTGCGGTGCGAGCAGCGCGCGCGTTCGAGGAAAGGAGGAGCACGCCGGATACGGCGTGACTGCACGTCCGTTTTCGGACAAATCGCATGACGGCACGTTGATTGAGCGTGTATATTCGTGCCGCGAGATCTCGAGATTATATGAGTGTTACGAGTTTCGTTAAAGTTTTGTTACGGAAAATGCAATTTCCGAAGCTGGCGTTCTAATTGGACCCGGGAACGATGAAAATTTAATCGACATTTCTTTAATTCTATTTGGGTCAACGGATAGTTATTAAATTTTCGATGTCAATTAGATGATTGCTTGAATTAAGGAAGTTTAATAATTTACATTTCAATACGTAAAATNTAATAATGCGTATTATATATTATTATCATATTGTACATTTTTATACGTTACGTGTATTCTTTAAAAAATAATCCTCAGTCTATTCATAAATGTCGAATTCATTATGTGAATCATGTTCAATATGAAATTGAAACCTAAATTGATCTCGAAACATGATTTTCTACTTAATTCCGTCCTACTTTCTTTCCCTTCTTATAAGCAGTCTTAACATATTCAAGACATTTTACAATTCTGTCTCACTTTCTTTCCCTTCGTATAAGTAGTCTTAACATATTCAAGACATTTTACAATTCTTACCTTATGGTGGATAAGCGATATGTTGTTTGGAGTGGGGGATGATACACCTCAGTCTTCTGTGCGTATGCATCAACGGCGGTGTGCAACGCGGACGTGTTGAGTTCCTTCCGAATTCGGCCACGGAGAAGGTCGTCACTTCGTGCAACACCATGGCAATCGAGAACTCTCACCACCGGCTACGAAAACGATCTGACGAGAGTCACGACGCGACGCGACGTCCGATCGAGGCCCGTAATCGAACGTTTTCCGCGATACGTGTTCCCTCCTTCTCGTCTCGGACACGCGCGATTCACTGGAATTTCGCGGCGTGTTTCGCAACTCGAACGGGTCCCCGATTCGTCTGAAACACACGCGGGAGACGGAGATCAATCACATTGCTCGCCGTTTTGGGAAGCACAATAGCTTCAAGCGTATTTACAAGTTTTTTCTTATTTTTATGTAAGAATCTCTTCGTTGAAATGAAGAAATGAAGTCTGCAACGATTTTATATAATATAAAAAAAAAATAACGTATTTTCCAGACATGCACATTATTATAATTAAAACTAATGTTTAATCTATTAATTTATAATGCAACCCGATGTAACTAGTAAGCAGGAATTCTCAACAAAATTTCTTTTACTTATATAAACTTACTTGGATGTATCAATTTTTACCCGAGTCTATTCAAGCGCAGAGCACCGTATTTAGACGTGAAATTTTTCATATCAATCTTGGAAAGTTTATAAGAAAGTTAAGATTGATGTATGAATCTATTGTATCAAAATTCTACTCGAGACAGTCACTAATCTTTCTCATCTGAAGATAAAACACGTATACCAGCGAGTTTCAATGAGAGTTCGGATGAAATTCTTCGAGGTTTGACAGTTGGGAAGACAGTCGGAAACCGAAGGCGTGTCGATTCTTCCCGGAACGGAACGAAAAACAAGTCGATAGACTCGAGAGCGAATAGCGTCCAGAAAAGTTCAGTCGAGATCGACAGGAGAGGAAGAAGGTCGAAAGCTAACAGCTTCGATGCAGAACTCTCAACTTCGACCACGAAGCTCAGCGATTCCCGCGGCCTGAGCTTTTATCAAACACGATCGACCAGCCAGGCTTGCAGAATTTATGTTCCCTGATCGGAAACCTAGCAGCCAGCCACCTTCGTAATTTTACGACGATAAATCTTTTCCGAAGTCTGCCATTTGATCATCTGATTAATCTTATCGCCGGTTACAAAGTCAGAAATGTTAATACAGTCTTTCCTTATAGTAAAAAATAAATGGAACGATTTCTCCATGTTCCTATAAACTTCAATACTACATTTTTAATCGAAAAATCTCGTTGAAGAGAAGTATGAAAGATTTGCACAATGCCACCTGACCGTATGATTATTGAGCCTCAGCACAATACGTACGAATTTCTTTAATATACAGGAACAAATAGAAAATGAAAAATACCAGTGGAAGGTTAACGCAGCTTCTCGATACGTGAAATGAAAGGAATAATAAGATCAGCTTTTAATGAAAATTGAAAGTGTGAAACAGGAGGGGAAGGAAAAAGGATGAAAGTGGGCTGCACTTTCCCAGAAAGGCTTCGTTAATATTAAAAATTAGATACCATATAAAAACGTTAAATAGAATTTTCCGAGATTCCTTTTAACAGTTTCACGTTAACGAATAAATGAATTAATTTGTATTAACGAGATAACTTCGGTGCCGAAATAGCGTCCAATGAGCGAAACCTCTAATAATGACAGTGCAGCTCCATTTTGGTTATTAAATCTGAAAACGACGTGCACGTTTTGAAAGACCATTGCTCGCTTATAGAAATGTCTCCACAAAAATCGATCAGACACACAATTATTAGCTGCGAATAACCTCCCCAATTTGCAGAAAGCTACGTCCACCGGATGCAAATATCATTTATTACTAATGCAACAGACTGTCCTTTCTACTCTAGCGTGTGTCAAATCAATCCTAATTCTCGCGAGTAGGAGACACCTGGACAACGAAATTGCATTGTGCTGGAGACGCTTCGTGAAAAATAAGGATCCACGAGGGTGACCTGATTATATGCGTATTTCTAGTCTCCTCAACGAGAATCATCGAATCTCGTCCTCAGGATGAACATTCATTCGCTTTCATGCTTTTTCCTATGTTCTCTAACCTCCGTTAGATTATTGCAAAACAGGATTAAAAAAATTGCGACGATACACAGGAGGAATGCACAGAGGTAAAGAATAAAGGAAGCTTGAATTAAAACAACAATGAATAACTGTTATTAAATCACGAAATGTAAAACGTACTCGTTTTTCGGGCTCGTTACCACTTGTTCGGTAGCAGTTGGATGTCACGCATCAATCACGTTTGACCGTCGCTCGAAGTTCGCTCGGTTCAGCGTCTTGCACGCGCACACACGTTCGACGCATCGACGACGTATCAACAAACACAAACGGCCGGAGCACGGTTTCGCGCGGCGGCGGCGGCGTCGACCACCACGACGACGGCGAGGACGAGGACGAGGACAACGGCGACGCGGCAGGACGAGGATCATGACTCGCCTCTACCGTCCATACCGTCTTGTCTCTGGACGTCCGCGATACTCTCGGCGACGTTGATAAGATTGTCGCGGCGGGCGTTCATCGAGCCCGTGGGACGAACTGATAGGAACGCGGCGAGCAGCGGCGACGATTGCGGCGTCGGGAACGATCACTCTCCACGGGAATGCTAGCACCAGTAGTGACTCTGCTGTGGAGGCGTGCGTCGAGCATGAAGCAGTGTTTACATGCGAGCAGGGGCGCCATGGTCACTGCCGCCTCTGTCCTCTTCCTCTGTACGATAAGCACCCCGATTTCGACTTCGCTGTCCTTCGCCTCGGCGGCGCCAACGCGTGCCGTGTCCACGGCACCGAGATCTTCCTCATTCTCACGGTATCAACTGCATCCCGATGCTCGCTCATTCATCTCTGCACGACATTGCTTTACTCTCCTCCTCAGTCCGCACTTGTCCGCCACACGCATACACCCAGTCTCCTCGCCGTGCCACCAACCACTCGCTGTCTCTTTCTATTCCTTTACGATCCCACCCCCGTTATCCTGTCGTCGTTATCCTTCCTCTCTGTCTCGCCTTCGCTCTGTCTCTCTGTTCCCCTCGCCGTCGTTCACGCTCTCCCACCCTCTCCGTCACTCTCACGCGACTGGCTGAAGCCACACGGCACGAAAGCTGCTCCGGAGTTGTGCGACGCGTGCCAAAGCTCTCGTTAGACTAAGCTCCGATAAAACTAGCGCCACGCCCTCCGCGTAGGTGGCAGCACCGGCCTCCATCATCTCTGCGACTTCCCACGAACCACGCTCTCCTCTTTCTCACCCCTACCCACCTCTCCAACCGTTTCTGCCTCTCGACGATGTCCCTACCCTCCACCGTACTCTTCTCTCTACTACCCTAGTCGCTTCCAGCCGGTGGCTCTCCCCTTTAGTAGTTTACCCTTGTCTTCTTCCGCGCTACTCCCTTTGTCCCTTCTTCTTGTTTCCCTTCCTTCATATTTACTTACGTGCCTCGCAGCCCATTCTCGCCACGCTCTCGATCCTCCCACTTTAAACCAGGCTTATTTTTCAACACCATCTTCTTTTCTAACTTCGTGCAGCCTCTTCTCTCGCCGCTGGACTTCGCAACTTCTTTGTGGTTCGGTTTGTAAAAAAGTTAAAGCACAGCTGCCTGTGATTTAATGCGATACTCTCATCTCTTTGTTTGCCGTTTCATTTTACGTATCAATGTTTTATTCCGATTCAGCATAAAGTAAACGCGTTTCATATTCATCCCTCGTATGAATCTTTATTTTCTAGTTTGACTTCGTACGGATTATTTTGTACAATGTAAATTAATGCTGAGTACGAATAAAAATTGTTTTATCATCGACGTGCATTTCGTATTTCGTATAACGTTGTACTGGTAGTTTAGTCTCCATTCCTCGGGCTTTCCATCCTTTTAACAAGTTCATAATCATCTCATGCTTATGCAATTTTCTAACTCTGCCCTCGCCCTGTGGACTTGTCCTAGAAACAAGAAGCTCCGCGTTACGTTAGAAGTACAGAGTTTATCGTCCCGTTACACATTTCCCCATTTCCCTCTATACAACGTGCCCCTTCGTTGCTGTTTACTTATACGCCTCCACCCTAATTCTACCGCTCAGTTTCGTTTCGATCTAACTTCCCTTCCGGGTGTACCTCTTACGCCTTAGCTGTTCCTTATTTAGTTTTCCCACGAACTACGATTTTATTTCTCTTCTTATCACAATTTCATTCCCCTCAGCGTATCTTGAAATACATTTATGCGGTTTTTATATAATTAACATCATGCTTGGAATCGTAAAACATTTTCGTTTAAAAGAGCAAACAGTGCACGAATTTGTCGTCGCATTGCGAGGCAAGGCGCGTAGGCGTGTATCGCGTGTACATTACGTGAAACGTATTACACGCCTTCCCCTCGTCCTCTGCGAACTGATTGCATAACCGCGGACGCAAATCGGTATTCTCATCCAACGGGGGCGATCAAGTTTCGATTGCCCGATATTAGAGGGTCGAGAACGCGTTTGTGGAAGCGGTTCCGGGAGTCGTTACACTTCCTGGCGAATCGGAAATTAGGTGAATCGAGAAACAGCGGCAGGCGTTCGGAGTTTGAACCGCCCGAAGTTCCATTGGAAACATGGAACCCGTTTAACTTGTAAATGATTTTATACGAAATTCTGTTTACTTAAAAAGAATATCTTCATATGTAATATTTATTTATATTAAAAAATGTTAACTATCTATACATATATGAAAATCATACATTAAAGTACCACAAAATCTTATTTATATTTCAATGGCCCGAATCCGAGGCTGAAAGTTCATTGGACATTGTCACGCAAAGTTTTGACTACTAGACAATCGTGAAACGGGGCGGAATACAGTACTTCGGCTCGACCGTCACTCTTATCGTTTCATTCCGTGAAATTTATCTCCTGGGAAATCGCGATAATTTGTCACGCGCATTGTTCCTGTTAATCTAGATCTAAATCCCCTCTCATATAAATTTCTTTCTTTAATTAAAACCGTCCGACAAAACCCACTATCCGTTTCAAATGGCGAAATACTATCGGGCTGATCGATTTCACGCTGTGTACACAATCCAAATAGGCAATTAATTAAATTCTATAGATATTATTAACATAATTTCGACTCGATATAGTCGGGTTTTGTTATTTGACGAACGGCCAGAATTAACTTGGATAATCTGATCCGACGAATCAATCGGGAATCATAAACATGGAACACGCGACGAGCCACGAATTTTCTACTGATGCTCACGAATCGGGCTATTTCTGCGAATTCCGCGGGACAACTAGACTTACGGATGTGTCTGCCGGTGTGTTTCGTCGTCAGATCAATCTTCTTCCTCCGCGGGCTTCCCCTTCGACTCCTCGTGCTATTTCGAGGCACTCTCTTTCGGGTCGAACTAGATAATGGCCCTCGCCTGGACAAGATCGAGCGCGGAGATAACATAGCAAATGTTAATTGCCACTCTATATTCGTTTTTGCCAATCTATTTGATCGCCTCGGGCTGCAGTACTGCTACGTGATCTACGTGCCTCGAGTTACCTCGACTGGATTCAATCTTCAATTCCCAGTGCGTTATGTTCCCTGAATAAGCATATTTCATAATTTCGTGTCTTCTGGATCGAAGGCGAACTAAATATAGTACATTAAACAATATTCGAATAAGGGACGAATTTTGCAATAAAAGAAATAAGCTAAATTGCTTTAAATTAAATTCATTGCTGGTTATAGTCATAAAGTAACATTTGGTAAACAATACATAATTATCTCTCTATTGTTGCCTCGCGTAATCTGCACTGTTTATCTTTACCCATGCTGCGAGCGATTATAGGCAATCCTCTCCGGATTATATGGCCAATCCCAGAGAGAAGTTAATAGCAACAGATTAATAATTCTTTCTGTTAATGGAATCTGAGTTTCTGCTTAATTCGAAAATAATTAGTTAATTTATCATCCTCTACCATTTTGCTATCAACAAGAATATGTTTCTTCAACTTTAACATCTTGGTGATTAAAAACGAAGGAGTAACGGGAAATGGTAAATAAATCTGACGAATTTTCGTGCAAACTTTCGTTCTCGTTCATTTGTATTCATTGACAACAAGAAAACAGTAATTAAAATCTGTACAAAACACGTATTTAAACGCTACAAACTATCCCGACATTGTTCAAATCGATCCTCCGCATGTATTGCCATTGATGAAACGCTACGGTGCAAAGTTAACAAGGTATATATATGTATATATGTACACCAGACCCTGCTCGTCAAATATTACATTAACGTACAAGTTACAAACACGCAGCCGACGTCAATAAAAAATTCGAATAAGAGAATCGAAAAAATAAAGGCTTTAACAGTGTGTAAAGCCTGGAGGAAGCAAGAAGAATTTTAACAATAGTTGGTAAAGTGCATGTAACTCGAGGGCAACAAATTTTCTGAATACGTGTAAACGACGTAGACGTAGAGGTAGACTCAATAATTATTATGATTAATTAACAGCAGTTCCATCATTCTACTACTAAATAATATCTGAATTTTATTATATAGTATAATACCTTCAAAAATGTATACATGCGCACGTCTGTATATAATATATTCGTAATAAAGAATCGATAAGAATGCGCCCTATGTAAATTTGTGCATTATAAAACACGAAGCCCTTTGTGCTCGGGATTACAATCCCCGTAGAGACATACACATATATATATATATTACATACGTAATCGTTTAATGTTCAATCGGAACAGTTTTTTTATCAACAAGTTATCGTCCCCTATACGTGTGTTTATATGCGTATGAGTGCAATATGTACGATTATACATTAAGATTGCTATTATAAACGGTAAGTATCCACGCGAGTTTCACGAACGTATCAACGTGGCTTCCTATAAAAAAATATCCACCGTATATAACATATACATGTATAATACATATACTATAGACAAAATTAAACGTTCGTTAAAGGGAGCTAGAAAAGCTTCTAAAGTATAAAATCGTATTTATAAAATAATTGGTGCACTTGTCTAAGGAACAGTTTTAGAGATTCATCCCTTGTTGTGTAGCAATTAAAGTTTTGCTGTCTTCGGGTAAGATTGTTGCATAAGCTTCCCCGCAACTGACGCCTGGAACTGTCGCAGTCCAACAGTTTTCTGCTGCTTAAACTCAGCGACACGAGTAATACAATTGATAATACTATTGATTAATGACAACAGTCATAAATAGCGCAATATACATGTATGTATATGTATTAATTCCTAAAATTGCAATCGGGATTTGCCAGAACACTCCTCGAAAGCTCGCTTGTGGGACGAAGTGAAATCACTTCGCATGTTTCTCTGAAAATTGCGTGAAAACGCGTTTCGAATTATTTCTGAACACTACACCTGAGGTTTTCAAGCGCCGTTAATCGTGCGAAGCGCTTCTTGAGAACTGTGTCTGATCAACACTGTCTGATTCTCCTTACTCTCCGCTCGCCGTTGGTGTTCCTGTTTCTTTAGGCGTTTGGATTTCTTCACAGCTAATAAGTGTATTTATCTATCTACGTCTCTTTAACACAAAATAGGTGTCTCCTATCGCATATAACAATTCCTAATATTGTATTTCAAGTAATTCCCTCAAAATGATGTATCCCTATTTCCTATTGGTTTTATATGTACTCAAATTAAATTGTCTACGTTCTTTGTACACTTCATTTCCAAAATCAACCGTTCAGTTTGTTTAACCCTTCGTCGAGATAACTGCGACTCTCACCATTTTCTAACTTCCTTCTCACATTTAATTATCTTCAACGAACACTGTGCTAACACTTATTAATTGACACTTATGAATCGAACAATCTTTTAACGCGATGCTACTTTTCCTATTATATAAAACACTGTTAACTCGTTTCGAAGGCCATTGCTAACATAAAAAAGCGGAAGCATTGTAAAACGTAAGCGGACATCGACGGAGGGTTAACGCACATTTTAAAAACGTTTTATTAATTACACTTGAAATCAACGTGTTTTATCTTTCTTATCAAAACGGTCCCTTGGGCTAAAACACAGTTTGCGATGTCTTTCCAAAACGTATTGAACGAGTTATAAACGAACTACCAAACGAAGACACCGAGTGTCCCGTTCATTCGCAGCGATCCGCTGCTCCCGTTTTATCAGCCTTACGTAACAGTGTCGAATATAACGTTTGAGAAATTTGAACCTGAAGTTTTTACGCAGACCCAACGGTCTTCAATGTTCAATTGAAAAATTGCAGTCTTCTTCTCTTAATGTGTATCATCCTTAACGCGGACACTATTCGCTGTCTCCCTCGTAGAACGTGTCCGGCGTTAAGGAGGCGTCCTGCTAATCATCGTCGACGATCTCGCAGCTGTGGTACTTGCTGGAGGAATCCAGCCAACTTTCGACACCGCTCGATGCCAAATCATCGCACGATGGCATTTCCGGAAGTGGTTCCATGTTCGGCGCGCCTTTCTTCGACAGATTGTTTACTTGCCGGTCTTTCATAGAAACACCTGAATAAAAAAATTAATCATAAATATTCTGAGAAAGGCTTAATTGAAATCTTCAACAAAACTCAGATTTTCATTTTAAATGAATTATTTATTAATGATTGAATTATTTAATGAATGAAATTAAGTTTGTTATAATTATTGATTCGAGTAAACACAATTACCATTGTCGCTTGGTAATGAAGTCTCCTTCCGACGAATCAGCGCTTGCCTTGATGCTCTTGGACTTCTGTACTCGCCGCCTACTGACAGACCCGCGCTGATAGTTGGGAGTCTTATATCCAAATGCGACCCTTTGTCTGTAACAATCTAACCAGACTTTAAATTAAGAATAATATATTCACTTCTCAAGACTCAATCGCTGGTAAACGAACTATAAAAACTGGTTTTTAACACCGTACTTACACAGCTATAATTATTACCTTATTGTTCATAGCGTACAGTTTTGTGGCGATGTCTCTCGCGACCAGCGTCGTTAAAACTGTTGCGAGGTATGCCTCTTTGACAAGGAGGTATTCCAGCGCGGATCTTTGCCAGAACAAATATCTGCACGAGCTTGCAGCGACAATCGACACCTGAAGAAATATATTCGATACGTATTATTATTATTATTATTATAATATTTAATGTATGTAATTAATCAAATATTCTATGTTATATGTATTTTAATATTTAATTCACCTTGAACTTATCGTCAACGGAGGCGCGAGAACTCTCGAATTCCGGCGAGTCTAGAAACTCGCAAGGTAAGATGGGGTGCAGGAAATTCGAATCGCTAAGAACGTTCACCTTGCCGCTAAGCAACAATCCTAGTCTGTCGGTCCGCGTCAAGTTTTGCATCGCGTACGCCTCGCCAGCGTGCAGTGACATTATCGAGGCGAACTCCGGCGATACCAGCCTTTTAAACTGCAGACGCGATACCTGTTTTCGTAACACGAAACGATTGCTAGTAAACGAAGTATTATATATTAAAATAATAATTTTTACAACCACGAGGAAGCTAAATCAAATAGTATCTTTTACGAGATAAATTCGTTGCATATAGAAATCAATGCAATTACTCACTTTGAAAGGGTAGAAAAGGGTGTGGTAAGCTTCCTCTAGTTCAGGGTCGAATCGAACTGGTCTCATTTGATAGACGATGTAGACTAACTGGCCGATGTTCAGTATGAGGAAACTAAAGTTCCAAGAGAAGATATCCGGTGCACAAATCACATGCCATGCCCAACCAGATAGCAACATAAATCCTTAAATTAAAATATTTCGAATTTTAACACCTGCTCCATTTTAATAAATAATATGATTAAAAAATTTTGGTCTGTCGTCAATAATTTTATTTATACTTATTTTAGAAAATAATAAAAAAACAATTTAATCTGTAGAAAAAAATTCTAATAATAATAAATCCACATTATGATACCTAATACATTTATTCTATAACTATTTGCAATTTCAAGGTAAGAAAGTTATTTATGTAAACTAGAATAGAATTATTTGTTGTCAAAGGCACTTACCAATTATTAGGACCGAATGCATAAATAATATTCCTTTTCTCGACGATGGTGCCGAATACGATAACGCGAAGCAAAAATTCGCCAACTGAAACAGTATGTGTTGCGGTTGCTGCCACAAACATAGTGCCGTGTTACCTGAAATAGAAATCATAAGAAAAGGAAGTAGAATGGTATTTAACTGAACTTGTGCAACTCGTTAAGTATATACTACGAGAGAAGTCACATGCAGCAAGGGGAAACGAAACTATGCATGCTCGAATTTACCTAATGCAGTGATATTGTACGAAGGAAGAGGATCGTGTCCGAGTCCGGGACTCATGTTGGCTAAATCTCTATCGATGAATGATGTAAAGGGAAAAGAGAAGAACGATGGATCTCTAAAAGCTACTTAGTGTCCATGCTCACTGGTTTGTTTTGGTGAAATTTGCCAGCCTCCTCGTCTCCAAGCAGGGGCGCGGCGAATGCCACCCCCACGGAGCGCTTGCGCCAACCCTTTAATCGATTCTCAACCACGCTGGTTGTGTAGAAATTTCTTAATTAAATATCAGCGGTGGACAAACTAGGAATTGTTGATTGTACAAAACTTTCAACGAAATATAATTAAAAAAATATAGCATTTATTTAAATTATAAAAGTTTCTTATATAGCGAAGAAATATTAATAAAAAAAGGGAAGAAAAATGGGAACATCTTAAAATATGATTTATTGATTATACTACTTATCTATTATNTTATTACCTTTATTGAACTATAATCTCATACATCTAACTGGTCTTACATCTAAAGAAGGTCGCATGTTCGAAGCCTTCGGTGGTCCACGCATATGCGATCTGGAGACAACCATAGCTTCAAACCTAGGTACAAGTGAAAGTCGTAATGACTTTCTCATACTATGTGTCTTCTTCCGTTGTCCAACTCTCTGCTCCTGTGCTCTATATTCAGAGATCCCCTCTCTGATCTCCCTCGTCGTACGTCGTTGATAAAGCCTTACCGTCCTCCTCAAAGTCCTATCGGACTTGCAAATTCTCAACCACTTGCCTGAGACCTGGGCTGCTGATAGTAAAGATTCAGCGTCTAACTTACGAAGTATCAACTGAGAAACCTCCAGAGGTAGTTCCGTGATGAAATCTACCTTGGATGGTTCCAACAGTCCAACTGCGCGGAGAAAACGCTTGAAGAATTCCATGTTGCTTCTGTCGCTGCAAACGCTGGAATGACCGAACTGGCAAAAATTTGAGGTATATATACAGCCCGTTACGGTTGACCGCTCGTTACGCTTCACGGTTCGGTGGTTCGGCCAATCAGGGACGAGTATGAGTATATAAGTCTTATATACGTACATATGTATGTATGTTACACATGTACTAGCGATCCTCCAGGGAGCGATGTTTGTACAGTAACTTAAGATGATTCTCGACTTATTTGGTATGCGCCATTTTCATTATGCACTTTCTTTGTAGTGGCTAGACAAAATATTTTAAAGAATAATGACTTTATCATTTTTTAAGAATTAGTCTATATTTCTGGAAACTAATTTTTCTAATCAGTCTTTAATTTTTCGTTGTATGTGATTAAAAATGGAGAATTAAAAAGAATTTCATCAGAGTTTGCAAAATTTCATGTAACATTATTTGAAATCCTGCGCTTTCGTACAAACGAGACATCATTTGTTTCGAATTCCGGTGAACTCGTTAGGAACTGGTATCTATCGCGAGAGGCCGCGAGCGATTGCATTCTCGCGCAGCCAGAATGCACCGACGGAGATTCGCGAATCTACATCCGCGGATCCACGGTCATCGGCGAGAAGACCGCCGCTGTTGTGACGCCGACGGAAAATAGACGGTCGACGGTCTCGTCCGCCCAATCAACGTCGCGTATCAGACTCCTCCGCGTCGACGGCACATGCGCCCTCCACCCTCGCCCGCAGGCTACACCAGCAGATGACACTGCGAGTTCACCCCAGCTCGCTCTCCTCTCGCGATTCTCTCCTTCTCCCTCCGCGGCTCTCTCTGTCACCGTGTCCCGTCCCTAGTGGCCAGGAGCCGACCACGGAAATACGTGCGGTACCACGCGGATTTTCCAGCCTCTCCATCCCATCGATACCGGTGAGTAACCGCATCAAACGAGCCAGAATCAAGCCCGGGCGCGAATCGCGAATTAACGTAACGTCACAAAGTATAGTCGCGAAACGCGAGTAACCCCCCGCGAGGGACACGGAAGTCGGCGAGAGCCGGCAGCTTTCGCGACGTATTGATTCGACCCGGTGCAGATCCGGCCCGTGCACGTTCGCGCTCCGCCTCCGAGAGATAATACGACTCAGCAGCCGGTTAACTGCACGCGTACGAACGATACGATAGCCGCGAACATTGGCGGAGAATCGTCGATCGACCGGAGTAGTACTCGTAGGTAGGCAGTGACCAGGGACCAAACCCCGAAGTGCGCCGCTAGCTGGTTTCTGCGGCCATTACGCGAGCAATCGAGGGCGAATGATCGTAGTGCGGCGCAGTTCCACCTCAGCGAATCGTGTTTCCTGAGTAGAATCGGTTTCACCCGATCGTCTGGTAGCTCCTATCTTCACCGTTCAGCTCTGCCCAGGTCTGTGCGGAACTAGGTAAGTCGCGAGGTGCCGCGATTCGCGAGACGGGACCGGCGGATTCGCATCAGTTTAACCTCTTTACCCCCGTGCCAGTAATTGCATCATACGAGCGCAACGTTACCTGCGAACATCCTGAAATACGTCCATGTGGTTCGACGCACGCTATCGTGATCAGGGAACGTTGACTCTTTCGTATAAATCAGAGGGAGCGTGTCTCGAGTCGCGCGGAGGCGATGCCGGGATCGCGAGCTTGAAATTTCTGATCGCGAAATGGCTGCTTCGCTCGGCCGCTCTAACTATTATTAGATGTAGCCTGCGTACGCGAATCGTTGCACGCTATCGAACGTGTGCCGCCGCGTTAACGTGATTCCATGAGGTCATTGCAGTTGCACACTGGGTGGGTAATCGAGGATTTTTTTTAAAAATCATATAGGGTACACGGCATTAGGATAAATCGATGGAACTAGGTCGCGAGAGCGGCTCGCCGGGGGTGAAATTAAACCGCAATGATCCTAATCGTACCGGACGGCCTCTTACCTTTTTTCTCTTGCCGTTAGGGCTCGCCCGAATAAACGCGCACACTCGCACCGATGGTATTTTCAATGTGGCCCGCATGGGGCCCTTTCGTCGAATCAATACCTTTCGCCAGCTAGTCATCGTTGACACGTAAATATTGTCCATTCGCTGGCCGATTACGCTCTTTTAACGAACCCTTAAATAATCTGATTTAGTGTCCATTGTAAGTGGTAATCCGTTTGGGAAATCAGCACGTAACCCGAATAAATGTGATAATCGTGAGCGTGCAATCGATTATTTACCTTTGGTGAAAAAGTGCAGCGCAGGCGATCGATTGGCCAGCAGACGTCTTATTATTTTATTAATAATTAACTATATGCAAACGCTGTCTGTTACAACGAAAATTCAATTATTAAAATATTCATGGAATTATGCATAATTCCTTGTAATAATTATCGTTGCCAAGTTTCTTAAGGGTTGTTAATTTCATCAGTCCAATCTTCAGTCTTCTAAAAATGGATTTCAATATAGGAAGTGTGTCTAGAGAGATGATCTTTAAACTTGACAAGGTCTTTGTAGTAAAGGAATTGATTCGCACGTTGAATACGTTTTTAGTATAGAATAAAGTGCAAGTTGTACGAGACTTTTGTGTCAGTGAAAGTTATTGTTTTGGCTTAGTGTCTGTGTAGTAGTTATTGTTGACGAGCTTGGAAGCAATTCGGTTCATCCGTCGAGCGCAATAATTTCTGAAAGCGGGATGATTCGCCGAACACTAGCAATCGATACAGCTTCACTTGTCACCATTATGAAAGCGTACACCTACCTAAACCTGTCAAGGAACGTTTGTTATATAACAGATATGATATTTGCGTGCACCTCTCGACGGTGTAGGCTCTTAATTAAAGCGAGAAAATTTTCGTTGTGTACCTTGCACAAAATCACAGTTTCAGTTATTAACACACTATTAAACCAATTTATAAATTTCAAAGGTGTAAGAAATATTTTTACTTGGATTGGAGAAAAATAGATTACGAGATAATATGAAATAGAAAATTTGTCTCGTTACAATTGACGAAAAGGAATTAAATTAATAAACATTATAAAAATGTGACAATAAAAAGTATTATAAAAAGCATTTAAAAGGTCTCATAGTCTAATACAAACATCATGCATCTGAAATAGGTACGACTGTTACGTTCACAATCGGATTCTTAATGAACCAATAAAACTACGAACAGCGGAATGACTGACGTGCCAGTAGTATAGGTACGCGTCTGATCAGCCGTGTCCGATCAGTGTCCCGTCACGAATTAATTTCTCGCTGCGTTCGACAACTTGCAGATATCGGAATTCACTCGATTATTAACGACGTGCAATAGCTGTAAATAATTAGAGAAATGTGCCGCAATATTATACTGATTTCTCATTAGTCAGCCCAGATTCGTGGGTGGATACATGATATCTACTTGCAAACTGTATCAGTTACTATATTTCGAGAAATATACAAAGAATCATCATAACTATAATTAAGTTACGAACGATGAAGTAGAACGGTGCAAAAATAATTGTCATTTTGTAAAGTTAATTTTAAAGGAACGTAGCTGGAGTAAAAATAAACTTTATCGATCAGATTGTATACGTCTGGGCTGCATCTCTGGTCAACGATAATTGAACTTACATTTTTATACGGTGAAGCTGTATTCGAGGGTAAGAAACTGAGATCCGGTAAAGTTCAACTTCAAAAGAAATAACAATAAATTCACAGATTTACGTGTATGATTAGTACGTAGAGTAGAACATGAGAGGGAAAATGTGAGGACAATGAAAAATCACAAAATAATGAACAAATTAATTTATATACTATTCTACTACATAGAAAATAGAAACAGAATTGAATTTTCTATACATGCTTAATAGAAGGCCAATTTCGTTCTCGAAATGTCGCGCAGGGATTAATCGGTCCTCCATGAAACGCGAGGAGAGGACCCAGGAATCGATACCGAGGTGAAGCCGGGCATTCACGGTGCTGGTAAATCTTTCCAGGTAACTAGAGCGTCGACATGGGTAAGGAGAAGACTCATATAAACATCGTGGTGATCGGCCACGTCGATTCGGGCAAGTCGACGACGACGGGTCATCTGATCTACAAATGCGGCGGTATCGACAAGCGTACGATCGAGAAGTTCGAGAAGGAGGCGCAGGAGATGGGCAAGGGTTCCTTCAAATACGCCTGGGTGTTGGACAAGCTGAAAGCTGAGCGCGAACGCGGTATCACGATCGATATCGCGCTGTGGAAGTTCGAGACCGCGAAGTACTACGTAACCATAATCGACGCGCCGGGTCACCGCGACTTCATCAAGAACATGATCACCGGCACGAGTCAGGCGGACTGCGCTGTGCTGATCGTCGCCGCCGGTATCGGCGAGTTCGAGGCCGGCATCTCGAAGAACGGACAAACGCGAGAGCACGCGTTGCTCGCGTTCACGCTCGGCGTGAAGCAGTTGATCGTTGGCGTGAACAAGATGGACATGACCGACCCGCCCTATTCGGAGACGCGGTTCGAGGAGATCAAGAAAGAAGTGTCGTCTTACATTAAAAAGATTGGTTACAACACCGCGTCGGTCGCCTTCGTACCGATCTCCGGTTGGCACGGCGATAACATGCTCGAGCCGTCGCCGAAGACTCCTTGGTACAAGGGATGGAAAGTCGAGCGCAAAGACGGTAACGCCGATGGAAAGACGTTGATTGAAGCCCTCGATGCTATTCTTCCGCCGTCCAGACCGACCGACAAGGCGCTTCGCCTGCCGCTTCAAGACGTCTACAAGATCGGCGGCATTGGTACTGTGCCGGTTGGCCGCGTGGAGACCGGCATTCTCAAACCGGGTACGTATCAACTGCATAAACTGTGATCTCAAACTTATTTGGGTTTTATTTAGATTCATATTTTATGTCATAATTTTATATATTTTTATATGCATCGATATAGTCGAAAACGAAACATATCTATCCAAGAAATAGTGCTGTCTTATTAGTCGTAATAGTGTGGGATCCCAGAGAAGTAGACAATCTTTCATGAAGCAATTGACGACGAGACTGACAGTTGTTACTGTCATCGTTGTCAAGCCTATCAGTTTTTGACGTGTTCATTTCTTTTCATTTATAATAAAATCTAATTTTCCGTTAAGGAGTTGCTCGTTTATCACTCAAAGTCAATTATGCATCATTTATTCTGCACCTTTTTTACATTTAAGATCCCAAATAATAATATGTTCTCTTTGCTTATGCTATTTCGGAGTATATTTTCAATATATTAATCATTTTTGAGATTTTCACAAACATACGATCAAACGTCGTTTCTGTATATAATAGAAAAATACTACTTCGTAACAGAAGAGAACAGAAAGGAAAGAAATAAATAGAAACTATAGTGAGAAGCTAATTATTTGATAGTAGAAGTAATGATCGTCTTAGTAATAAAGGATTTGAAATGTACAAAATTGAAATAATGAACTAGATTTATTATTAATTTTCCAGGTATGGTGGTTACATTCGCTCCGGTGGCGCTCACCACTGAGGTAAAATCTGTCGAGATGCACCACGAGGCATTGACGGAGGCGTTGCCCGGCGATAACGTTGGTTTCAACGTGAAGAATATATCGGTGAAAGAACTGAGGCGCGGATACGTAGCCGGCGACTCGAAGAATCAGCCGCCCCGGGGGGCGGCCGACTTCACCGCGCAGGTGATCGTACTGAATCATCCCGGACTGATCACCAACGGGTACACGCCCGTCCTCGATTGCCATACTGCTCATATCGCCTGCAAATTCGCGGAGATTAAGGAGAAATGCGACCGTCGTACTGGCAAGACTACCGAAGAAAATCCGAAGACTATCAAGAGCGGGGACGCCGCGATCGTAATGCTACAGCCGACTAAACCGATGTGCGTCGAGGCTTTCCAGGAGTTCCCGCCGCTGGGTCGGTTCGCGGTTCGTGACATGCGTCAGACCGTCGCCGTGGGCGTTATTAAGGTACGTTAAACTATTTCTCTGTTTCGATGTGCGGTGATTAACAATCGATAAATAAATTACGAGAATGTCTGAAGGAATTTCAATGATATGCAAATAATTGTAATTTATTAATAATATTTTAATGTTCAGCAATTTTTAACAATTCCAATGGAAAAACGAGACTATAACGATTTTCCGGTATCGTTTAATTTTACAAAGAATTTTTTATTAATATTTGTAACATCGGGGAACGTGGTTTCTGTCTTCTATTGCAAGTCTCTCGTCGTCTACATGTTGAGAACGATTTTGACATTTCGCCAACATAATTCCACCTACAACGTTTATATTTTTAGATAGAAAATAATACTACTGTACTGAAGAAACAATCGAAACCGAACAAAACTTATTATATGCATTCATCAACTGCATGGAACGTTTTATATTGCTATAAAAAAAAACACATGATGTCACGGTAACCCTTGCATGATATCGTGAAACGCTTGGTAAATAACTGATAACGCGAAGCCGATCATGATAAAAAAATGTATGAAGCGTGTAAATGGAGTCACATGAATGTACTTACTCTTGCATAATTAATGGAGATGTTACTAATCAGCGATACCTTCGAGTACCACAAATAACTTCGATTCAATCCTAAAAACATCAATACGAAATCCCTCTCTCATGCTAATATTTTCTATCAGTTCTCAATTTGCACTATTTAGGAAACATAATCAATCGCGTATAATCGGACACGTATAGCAGATGTTCTTGCCTCTTTTATTCCAATAATATTAATATTAATTAAAAATTCGTTTGTCCACAGAGCGTCACATTTAAAGATACCCAGGGCAAGGTCACAAAGGCTGCCGAGAAGGCCCAGAAGAAAAAGTAACCATCAAGCTTCCTCGGAAGCTCGCAGACCGCCGGCTGTTGCCCGAAGAGCGTCTCCGTCACGGGATCCGCCGCTAGGATGCAGTACGCCGCGGCTGCTCCATTCAACTCATATTCAACTAATAATAATAATACCAAAAGTGAAAAGATGTTGTGCTTACCCTTGTTACATTATCCGGTAGTATTGAATCCGCGCATCTATCCGAATCTGCACATTCAGTTCACCCACGCCCCGCGCACACCCCACATATGCTAGGTGGATTCTTACGTTTTTACTTAATAATTCTTTAAATTTAACGAATATGTGTCCAATTACAGGTAAACGACATTTAAGGAAAAACGAAACAAACATATTGGAAAAAAACAAAACAATACTCGGTTCCCTTGAACTCTGTGTAGTTAGGTTTTTCAATTAAAAAGATGTATCGACAACATTAAACACACCGATGACCAGACGGGATGATGCCGTGTGAATCACAGCTTAATTGCGGGAAAACGAAAACACGAGGCAGCGGGCAGGCCATAATTAATTATACCCGAGGGTCTCCGTGCGACTACTGCATACTATATTATAATATATATATATGTACACTATCTGTCTTGCAGTGAGCTCTATGAAAATAGAGAAAAGTGAAATGAGAAGTCGTCGCGATTACACGTGACACGCATACGTACACAAACACACACACATACACACTATGTACACACGTTCGTGAAGGGAAATGCGAAACGGTCGATGATTTATGTTGGACACGAAAACGCGGCCGCCCGCTGCTACCTCGCATCCCCGACGTTTTAATCGATTTCTTTTCGAAGGATTCGTTAAAGGCTGATTTGTTTCAAGACTTGGTTGCCTCGCTGCGAATAATTTTATTACTTGTATAAGAAATGTATTTATCTCTAGTTAGAGAACATTAGACTGTACTCCCATCCCTTTCGCGCCTCGAACGGAACTCGCTCCTGAGTTCGGAGGGTGTAAGGGTATCGCCACCCTCGTTCACGGGAGAGAGTTTCAGTTACGAGTTGCCTGTGTTAATCTCGGTACCCCTAATAGACGCGTTCTACAATTGTTTTGACCCTTAGCCAGTATTATGTTGATGTAATAAAAAAAAAACATTTTAATCGCGTTACTTTATTTCTTCCCCTGATCCAAAACGTTAGACATTTTTTCTGTGAAACGAAATTATGTTTGAACAAGAATAAAAATGAATCTGAATTTGTGTTTGCAGGGTAATTTTTGGAATGAGGAGACATCCCGAAGACCGGGAAGGAGTATGGTAAATATAATTTATTCCGCATAAATTCTTTGTTTACGTTACAGCTAAACGTGGTATGTACAAATATATATTTAATGCAATGATCTTACAAGAATTTAGTGTAATGCAGGTCTTGGTCAGTCTTTAATTGCCGAGGCCCGTTGTTTGTCAGGGCGTCGAGCAGCGACTCCGATCTCTCGTTCGCGATCGAACACGTGACACAGAAAATTATCCGCCAAAAAGAAAAATAAACCACATTCTTCGTACATACGTGAATACAATCACATGCGAGTGGAATTTCTAAAACAAGATACATATTTTGTAGGCACTTCTGTCGACTACCTTACGCTTCGAAAACAATTCTATCGATCGTTCGAAACCTGTAGCGGGCCAATTCATGCTGCGAGTTCCGCCCAAAGTTCACACAGACATGCATGCATCGGTTGCTTCGCGAGCGCAGATGCGTGTCAACGAAATTTTTATTTAATACTAATTAAGCTAACATTTCTCGCACCATTTTTTTTTTTTTTTGTCCACTTCACTACACAATTGTCCAGCCGAAGAATGAGAATCGAATGAAGCACAAAACAAAATTAATGATCGAGATAAGAGAATGTACAACGGAATAAAGGTTTGTATAAGAAAGAAACGGGGTAAGGGGAGGGTAAAGAAGGAACGGGATTCGACTGTGACGATATCGACGAAAGAAAAGACACACCGAAGCTAAACCAACCCGGGGCTTCGCGCCCTAATACTCTATCTCTACTCCACTATCATCGTTCTCTCCCTCTCGAATCATGTAAATGCTAAGACAACCCACAGCCTCGGTAAATATACAAAAGAAAGAAAGAAAACCGTCCTCGATACCTCGTCGCTCTTCGCGGAAGGCTACACGCGCGTTCTTCGAACATTAACAGCTAAAGAACCAGAAAGAAAACGATATTCCGTTCACCATGCGACGAACAGACGCGACGATTTTTTCCACCATGGGGAGGGAAATTTCCAAGTCCCAGAAAATCTCTCGTGTCGGATCGTTCGATCCGACCTTACGAAGTTTGATTGCACCGTCGCTCGTCCTCGTCAGCCCAACGGACGGCGTGCATACGTAACACCATTATTGGCATCTCTGAATTTATCATACGCAGGTCCGACACTTGCGTATGTACATATATACATGCATCGGAACGAACGGGACACGGCGTCGTACATAGTCAGACAGTGACGTACGGCTCCGAGACTTCTCGTTTATGTCTGTTGCTGGTGCGTGGGACTATGATGGTGCGACCACGTCGGTGGGCTCGAGTGGTTGTTGAAGTTCACCGATATCGTGACTGGATGGAGGACCATGTCCGGGCCGGTGTCCGAAACGAAGTTCAGATGGGGCCTTAGCATGGACGCTTCGATAGTTAATGGTACGTAAAATGCGCCGCCGTCGTGCAGAGCGAAGATCGGCACCCCGTGGGAGGAGGACGGTTTCTCCGTACTGGTCGCTGGCGGCGGACTGGACTTTATCCTCTCGGCGGAGAACCTCTGCTTGATGGAACTCTTGAACTTGTAGTTGGAAGGCTTGCAGCTGGTGACCGAGGGTGCGCTGTGCGAGTGGGTGCTGTGATTGCTGTCGTCGCTGACGATCGCTGGCGGTGGGATGATCGTCGGGCGCAAGGGACGCTCCGGATCACCGAAAGAACTCACGCCTGAGCTGGACCCGTGGTCCGAATGACCGTTCGGCTGACACATCGTGGGAATGCTGGCATGAGCGTATCCCGTGCCGTTCATGACGCCGTTCGTTGCTGGCATCTCGGGATGAGGGAAGCCTAGCCTATCGCCTATAATCAGAAGTTTGGTAATCACGTAAAAATAGTATCATAATATAATACAGTGCATATAACATAATATATAACGCCATCAAATTTGCTTCGTTAAAAATAAATGAACAGAGTTTTCAGACTTGCATAATAAACTTTGCTTACTAGTAGCTAAGATCTTCTCGCAGTGTTGTTGCAGATGGTTAATTAGCTGAACGCAGAGAGAGTCCCTCGCGAAGAAGCCCTCCACTTCTACGAGGAAGTGCATAGTCTCGCTCAAGCACTCTTGGAAACCCAGCCTGTAATGTTCGGCTGCGGTGGACGCGACGGTTGAGTGCGAAACGCTGTCCACGCTGTCTTCGGGATGCGTATGCACCGACGTCACCACCGGGTGTTTCGATTCTGAAACAGTAACGAGATTCTGAGTAAACAAGTCGTTGGTATACGCGTGTGAACGCACGTTCGCACTTGATGATCGTTACCTTGCCGGAGGCTTTGAAGATGCTTCATATGACGAATAGCCATTTCAATGATCTCGGTCTTCTCCACTCTACCTCGACCTTTCTTCAAGTACTCGGCCGGTATCAGTCTGCTAAGATCGGCCAGGCAATTGTTCATTCGATCTCTTCTCCGCTTCTCGATGATCCTATGAGACATCGGATCTTGCTGCAACCGAAAGCAAACAATTTGCCATTAGACATTTTTATTACTACGCACGATAAAGGTTTTAATGACTGATAACAATTTAATTATAGTATATGTACGTAACATCGTCGCGTTCCCGTATCAGTATCCAATTAATTAGAATGTATTACATCGTTGATAATATTGTTACATTATCACGAACCTGTCAATATTTTATTGCAGTTTATGATAATGCGTTGTTATGCCTAATAACACGGCGTTAGATTAACGGGAATCAGTCGCCAACATTTATTAGACACCACGTATCACCACCGACGACGTACATTTTGTAATATACTGTTAAACTTTAACATCTGTCAACATGTTACACCATCGTAAAACATCAACCGAGACAACAACTTCCTGAATAAATGTTAAGGGATATATATAGCTTTCGTTTTCGAAAACAGCGGACGTCAATCGAGATGTTAATTAATCGACAGTTAAAAATTTTTTTCACAAATCACTAGCAAAGGTATAATTGCACACAAAGGCGAGGTTCAGCCGGATAAAAAAGAAAATGTCACCTCTTTATTCAAACACCGCCTCTTCCTAAGCGGGGGCGAGTGCGCCGCCGCATCGACGTGGCTGTTCGTGGGGTAATACTGCATATTCAAAATGTTATCCATGCTGTGCGTCACCATCGTGCACCGAGGAACGAGAACACGCGAAACGTAGCGACGAACAACAAACCACAGAATGTTATTTTTCGAACCGTCGGACAACTTCTCCGAATCGGGAGCGACTCAGATACGAGACGATCCTCGGATCAATTTAATTAAAAGCCTTCCGAACTATATTTCATATCCAAGAATATCCTTATACAAGCGTGGCGCGTTCGAACGTTTCCTCGAATCGCGCCTCTGCCTATATAAACGATATCACGCAATTCGAATCTATATATATACTTTGCGTCCACTTGGGAGATATTTAATTCACAGTCTATTATAGTACGTGCTCGCTAAAAATATAGCGGTATCGTGCATGCCCTATTTATTGTATAAAATGAATTGTTCTAAATATAATTTTCCTCTTTTTAATAAAAGACCGCACAGGACAATCGTTCGAGGGAAATACGTAGATATACGTCGCGGGCACTGCGACTCCAACACCGTTCGTTCACGACACTGTGCGTGCTCTGATATGGCACGAACACGACTGCGATCCGCGGCCGACGGCGCTTACGTTCCTTTAACGAGGAGGGAGATGTCGCTCGACGATGACGCTCCCGCTATCACGTGTTGGAAACGCGACGAATAACGCCCAACACGTGACGAAACACGTTTCGGCGAGGAAGCCTGCACCGGGAATTCCTCTTCCGCGGCACTTTTCCGCCTCCCTGCGAAACGTCGCCGTCTACTACTGAACCCGTTATAGCACGGGAGAAAAAGAATTACGATTCGGTCACGAGGAGCACGTTTTTTCCAGACGTACTTCGAACCAGACACCCGGATCACTGCTAGATCGACACACGTGTCCCGATGGAATAAATTTGTCCACACGGACTCGTGCGATCGTGGAATGTGAGCAGATAGAGATCTTTCAAGAAACTCATTGATTAGCTCTAAGGGTGCGGCAAAGTGNATTCGAATAATATTCCAAATTTTTTATTGTAATACTTGTGATGAATCCCTGAAAGATTTTCATTAGGGTGATTAGAAGATTGATCTCCGTTACCCCTTCCAACCCTTCCCTTAACAGGAGAATAAATATTGAAATTGGCATGAAATATAAACTCCTGGTGAAATAAATTCTGCATTAGACGAATGCGTCGCGAGCGGGCAACTAAGGAACGGACTCGCGTCGTCAGCACGGAGTCTCGGTACAGCGAATCGTAATCAAGAGTTGCTCGTTGACCCTCGACTCCGCAGTTTCTACTTGTTCGGTGAGACGACGACGCGCGAGGCAACGCGCGGCGAGGAGAGAGCAGATCTGGAAAAGAAGTCGGATCGTGAAAAATCGCTGGGGAACCGCAATAACGGGGTCGTGTTATCAGCATTCCGGATATAACCGGACTAGGGAGAACTTTGCGGCTGACATCGTACCCCGTGTTATGACCAGGGTTTATCGAGAAACGCTTGACCTCCCGCTGTTTTTCATACGATAACCGGGTATCACCGGATCCAGTAGCCTCGCTTAGGCTGGAAGCAACGAACACGAATGTCTATCAGCATCTTGCAAGTCGCGTGTGCAGTCGTGTTTACTAAGTATGCTGAAGTCAGTTTGATCTGGCCAGCAATCGGTTGAAATTTATGTTAAATTAAATTAGAAATATTGATAGCCATTGAATTTGATATTCAGATCGAAGTTTTCAATATTGACAATATTTCATGAATCGATAGAAATCGACATGCATTTTTCATTGAATTTAGACGAAGGAAAGTAATACGGTCCTAGATTTACCAGTCGGAGCAACAGAAATTTTTTTAGGAACGAGGTACGTAATAACTTGAACAATAAAAGAACTGAAAAGGAGAAAACAAGAAGACACAGTTCGTTAATTTTACTGTTACGAAACATGTTTTCCACATTAGTGCTCGGAAACAGCCCTCGAAGACACTAGAAGTTAAATAGCGCGTAGAAAACACGGACAGCCTTGACGTCAAAACGAAAACTGCGCATCGAATCGATGAACTGGGTTAAATTAAAATTTAGCCGCGTGGGGGTTGGAAACGAGCGTGCAGAACCCAAAGTGATTCGAGTGCTTATCGAAAATCGATTTACCACTCCGCTGATAAAACCGTCGATACGAAAAAAAAAAAAAATACCTGTTTTGCGCGGAAACGTTATTTACTCAACCACTCGGATGCTATCGAGTGTCCCTTTTCGCACAAGTCGTTTAATTCTAGAACGCCGCTATACCTGTCTGATGTTCTCAGTTGACGAATGATCACGTTGACTACAGAAGGTACGTTTGTGAGAACAAACATGTGACCGATTACCAAGCGCTGATTACCAGCGGCGGCTTGTGAATGAACACGTGCTGTTTTTAGTAACCCTGATCCAACCCGGCCACGTATTACTTCTGTCACGGACGTTTACTCGAATGATCCTCCATACATAAAAGAATTCCGTGACTTTTTTCTAACCGACCCTCAATTGAACCGTTGGCGTTGGACCTAAGGGCTGTTATGATTAAATTATTATGTATAATTTATTGTATATTAAAAAAAAAGAATTGTATATTAAAAAAAAAAGAATAAATTATACATAATAATTTAATCATACGAGCCCTTTGGTCCAACGTCTTTTAATTTATACACACGATTTAAGTGAAAGCTTCTTATCAATCCAACGTATTGATTGGAATAAAAGTACGTACATAGCTCGAACGTTTCAAGTAACAAATCGACGTAATAGATTTTACATAGAAACGAGATAAAGCGTTAAAGTCCAAGCGTACGAGCGTCATTCGGCATATTTTCTAAAATCGAATCTGTATTGGGGTAGTCCGTAACGACTCCGATCAGTTACCGCGGAAGCAAAATTATATCAACTCGGTTTTAATAGTATCGCGCGAAGTCCAGCGCGATATCAATGGCGTACTTGCGTCTCATTCGCCGGAAAGCTCATAACAATTGTTACGTCTACGTCAAGCCCTCGTGACACTCCTCCGTTCGCTGGTAACAAGACCCCAGCGAAACACGTGACGAGAGAAAACGAATTCCCCCTTTGTTCCTTGATAAGAACTGGTAGGGGGCATTCCAGACGAAAAAGATAGGAGACTAGCGACTTGCAATAGCTATAATTCAACGCCAACTGTGCGTTTTAAATGCTCGGCACCGAATAATGCACAAATGCAGCGAACGTATGTCAATTAGCATGACACAGAGCAGCTACATTTCCAAGAAAATATATTTTGAAGTCACAGCTTTAATCCTGACAATTTCATAAAAAAAATTTCTAAATAAATGATAGAATTATTTTTTAACATTGCGGTATGATGAAAGTGACATCCAGTCACTTCCATCCGGTGCATCCAGTTTGAAAATAAATTCACAAGCACTCTGAAAGTATGGAAAATATTGTATAAGCTCACGCGCCTACTGCGTCTGATAAACAAGTAGAAGTTGTTGAAAAACTAGAGGAGTCACTCACATAGCCGCGGAATCGAGTTATTTCCGGAAACGGCAATCTATTTGCCAATAGATGAGGAATTAAATTAATCGTTGACTAGATGGAATCACGTGCGGTGTGCAACGTGCATCGCGTGCGTGCGACGAATGAAGAGACGAGATAATACGTATCTCTCCTCTGTGCACAATTCGAATCACACGAGGATCGTATTCACTCCGGCCAGGAGACATTCGTCTTCGCTACCGTCTCCGTTCTGATACTATTTCACGAAATTTTAATCCAACCGTATCTCATTGTGTCCAGCACGACACTATGAAATTACACGACAAGTAAAGCTATCCCGCCGCGATAATCTCTCTCTTATGCTTCGGATTAGGCGTGTATATACACGTAAGTAGCGAACAGTGAATCTATAACAGTCGGCCGATGCACTTCTCCTACAAACGATCGTTTTATTCACGGTCCGTCATGCTGTTCTATTTTAAGCAATAATGGAAGCTACTGTTCGATACTAGAGACGACACAATCCTTCCTATGTCCGGAACAATTTAAATAAAAATTTAAAAGCTCGGCGCATAATAATAATTGAATAGAAAAACTGCAAGAAAATAACATCACCAGTGCAATACAAAGAATTATAACAGAAATCACGAAATACGAGAAATATAAAAAGACAGACTAACTTCTTTCTAAGTAAGAATTTAAGGAATTATCATAAATTTTAGAAAAATTGAAAATAAATGCAAACTTTGCAATTAGCAATTATAAGTTATGATTGCGATCTGCATAGGGGGTGATGGAAGATGGATAAAATCAGACGCATCATTTCTACGTCATTGCGATCATTATTTGGGTCACCGATAAGCATCGTAAACGTTTTTACGTGGACATCCAGCGTGGAACGG